AACTTTGCGACTAATGCGACCCTTAGCTCTGTTCTTCCGTATTTGGTATGACATGAAAACATGTAATATTCCTAACATATCTTCTACTATTTTATAGATAAGTTGATGCTTGACCTTGCTGTCATCGTCACTAGTTTAATAAATATTGAGCTACCATTTAGTTTAGTTTACGACAGTTCAATAACACATGGGTCGCCGTTTCTTCTTCCCCATTCATGCCCTGCACAGGGGACTATCTGTAACACCTATAGTAAATAAATGCTTGTTAAAGTTGCCGTGTCCTGTGATAGCACTTGTTACTATCCTGATCTATGGGTTGGTCAGTCTCATTAGAACTTTGCTTAAACAACTGTTTATTTCAGGCAGGGCCTCCCTAGCTTGTCTACAGTCTACTAGATTTTTCTAAAGCTCAGCGTGTGGATTAGTAAAGTGTCTACATACCAGTGAACGAACATTATCAAAGGGGATTGGTAGGATTGGTTCCGGCCCTATAGTGGCCAGAGCCTATCCTCTTCTGGCCAGTTCGTCTGCTGCATCGTTGCCTCTGGATCCACTGTGTCTCTTTATCCATTGCAGAGTCACATTGTTGTTTTTACATACCTCATTTAATCGTTGATGGCATTCATATATTAGTCCCGAGTTCACCACATTGCAACTCAGAGCTTGTAGTACCGCCCTAATGTCGGTCAGTATTCTGATGGCGAAGTCATTAACCTTCCTAGCATCTATTGCTATGGCCGCTTGAATGATACCCATACATTCCGCCTGAAACACCGTGTTATAAGTACCCAGCGGTGTGCATATGTGAATATTGTGGTCTTCAGAGAAAGCTCCAAAACCTACACCTTCATTTGTTTTAGAACCATCGGTGAAAACTCCAAGCTCTTGTGGGCTTAATCCTTCCGGCTGACTGTTTCATTTAATTGTATCTTGTATTTCTTATCGAAAACAAATTGTTTAGTAATCTTATCGTATTTGGCTTGTAGGATAGGAATTTTTGAGTTAATTCTATCAATTATGGCTGTATGAGGGACACTATTCTTATTCCAAAGATTTAGGGTCTTGAGTCTGATGGCAGCTAAAGTCGCTTCTTGTTGTATATGTAGATGAAGCGGGTTAGCTTTAGCATCGCTTCTAAGGCTGCTGTTGGCGTAGTTCTTATGCAGCCTGTGGCAGCCATACATGCCAGTCTCTGGTAGCGCTGAAGCTTCTTTATAGTGTTGGCTTCATATGTCTTGGTCCACCATACCAGAGCGCCGTATGTCATCATGGGCTGAATTACAGTTTTGTACAGCCACAGTATGATTTTTGGCACCAGTTCCCATCTTTTGCCAATCATGGTTTTGCATTGCCAGAAAGTTATACTAGCTTTGTTGATTTTGTTTTCTATGTGTTTATTCCAGTTAAGTTTGCTGTCCAAGGTAAGACCTAAATATTTTACCTCAGAGGATAACTGGAGTTTTGTGCTGAAAAGACAGCATTCGTTTTTGTGTGAACATTACTAGAACCGTTTTATTTGGATTGACGGTTAAGTCGTATTCCCTGCACCATCTCTCCACTATATGGAGAGCCGCTCGGGTCAGGTCGCACAATATGCTTGCTGTCTTTCCAGAGACCAGTATTGTCAGCTCATCAGCATAACCTACTGTGTAGAAGTGATTTTTTTTTATAGGATAGGGTGACAAACGAGCACACAGTCCACCTGATGGTAAGTGGTTGCTGCGACCCATAGACATCTACATCTATCCTCAATAAAGAATCAAAATGCAGATGTATTGTCACCCGTGAGGACTAAGATGGAATGCCTCTTTTCCAGTAAAAAGGGTCTCCGGTTCTCTACACTCACCATACGAAACACAGCAGTGTTAAGCTGCTATTTTACGCTGGTATTCTGTGAGAGCGTGGTCCTTCCCCTGTCGAGCCGACCCAGTCGTGCTACAACTATACTACTAATATAGTTGCAGCATGGCTTTACCACGTATTTAATTTGCTGATGAGTTCATTAATGACCATATTCCACAGGAGAGGTGAGAGAACCCCACCCTGCGGAAGCCTTTCTTAATTTGGATTGGTTGAGATTCACCAGCAATCTTTATTATTCGTGTACTGAGCATGTTTTGCTATCCAGTCAATCAGTGCCGGTTCAACTATATGTCTACTGAGTGCACATTTTATGCTGGAGAAGTTCGTTCTATCAAAAGCACCTTCTATATCAATGAAGGAACCTAGACATATTTCTTTGTTTTGAATGGCCTCTTCAATCTTTGTTATTACCTGGTGAAGTGCCGATTCTGTTGATTTGCCTAGACTGTAGGGGTGTTGCTTATCGTGTAGTGGTAAGTTCATTAGCGCCGACCCCCTTAATTCCCCTTAATTGAGCTACCATAAAACCATTCACTTTAGGTATATTGTCAGATTAACCTTATTCACAGCCAACTTCAATGTTAAATTGTTAACATTAACCTCTTATAAACTTTTTAAATAAGATGGGAAAAAAAATTGCGAAAAACTAATCGTGTTCGACCGTTGCGTACGTAGGTCAGAATGGCTAAGCGTTCATACGCACTATGCGGCTAGCCGTACGGCTGACTGCAAGATAAAATTACTACGTGTTCATTTCTTGAATGCCGTTACCTCCCGCCGCCTCAAACGTCGCCCTTATAGTACCGATAGCAATGCTGAATTTTTTTTTTTTATAGGATAAGGGTGACAAACGAGCACACAGTCCACCTGATGGTAAGTGGTTGCTGCGGCCCATAGACATCTACATCTATCCTCTATTAGAAATCAAAATGTAGATGCGTTGTCACCCGTGAGGACTAAGATGGAATGCCTCATTTCCAGTAAAAAGGGCCTCCGGCCACCTGCACTCACCAAGCGAAACGCAGAGGTAAACCTCTACTTCACGCTGGTTTTCTGTGAGGTCGTGGTACCACCCCGGTTCGAGCCGGCCCATCCGTGCAACAGCAAAAACTGCCGCATGGCTCTACCACTGTATGAAATGAAATATATCTATGTCCATTGTTTGTGCTCCCGTGCGATCTCTAGTTTGTTTCTGTTTTTGTTATTCTTTTTGTTAGTGTTGATTTTGCGTTACTGTTAATTTTTAAGTTCGTTAATATGTGATAAACACAGAATGGAGTGATAGCAATGATACAGAAACGAACGATTTCGATAAAATAACTGGTATCGAATTTATGGATGCGTAAATATCTACCTACCAGTTTTTGTTTGCGCCTTCGTAAATAATTCATTTAAAATGTATAATAAAACTATATAAAATAAAACTAAATAAAAATATTTCGGACATGTTTTTCTATTCAGTGTTATTATTTTACTTTACTAACTAAATAAATTATTCAATAATATGCATTTTATCAATTTGCTTGTGTACAGGGCAACAAACTACAAATCGAACGTCTTAAAATTCAACACAGTAATAGTTTTGTCTACGGTACCGTCAGCTATGACGTCATAACGGTCGACGACGGCAAACTCAAAATGAACGCGTTGACTTTTTTTGCGCCCAAAAGCAATTGGAAAAGGCTACCCCGATACGCGAGGAAGTGGAGAATGCTTTATGCATACCACGACAGCCGGTCTGTCGTGGTTATGTGGGACTCACTGTGTCTACCTACTGGGGAACCTAAGTGATACCCACTAAACTCTACTTTGGGGACTGGCAATTAGCTGATTAAGCCTCTTTGCCGGATCGGAAGCGACCCTCTTCTGGGAGAAGAGGGCGCAGGTGAAACGCGTTGACGTAACATTTATTTCTATGCACACTGTGATGCGGCTACTCGCAAACAGCTCCGGTCTCTCAGAGGGTCGCGGCCCGAATGACGGTCAGCCGGACTGTTGCTATTCGCACTGTGTAGCTCAGGTTGCGGCTGCCCGCCATGGAATGAGATTGTGTACACGTTGTATGTTTATGATGGATATCGAAAAATTTGACATCGAAACCCAGAGGTGGAATTCGGAACACCAAATTGCCAGAATATTGCCGATAAAATCCATCGTTGAAATGATTAAATATGACTATAAATCGCAACGGTTCGTCAACCGCAGGTTGCGGGCAGCCGCATTCGCAATCGCATTCTGTGGTCAGCCGGACGACTAGCCGCATTGCGGTTACCCGCATAGGGCGTATAATATGAGCACTAAGCACTATGATAATTCTGGGGAATTTGTAAAAACCGCTCCTAATATCTTCTCGTTGTTTAAATTTGGTATTACTGCATGTATTGATTTAGACAATAACTAGTGTGATGTATGTAAAATAAGCTTATTATGTTATATATGGATATATTTGAATACCAAAATTTTATCTACTTGCCAGGCTTGATGGATTTCACATGTTCTCAAAATATACAAAAATGTTCTATGAAAAAAGCTTATTGTTTAAGCTTTTTTCATACAACATTTTTGTACATTTTTTTTAGATCACTTGAAGTTTGTGGTAACAAAGAATATTAATTAAACCATATTATTAATTTATTAAGGTTCTGACAAAAATACCAAATCAACAACAAGGACAGCTGTAGTCCGATTTATATGTTTTCATGACTAGGTAAAACGTTTGTTGTCATTTAAAGTTTAGAGGAAGCGCCATAATTAAAGGGTTCATATTTTTCTGGTCAGGCTACCACTGTATGTATGATCAGTATTAACATTTGTGTAATGAATGTTCATGTACATAAACATACTCTACTATGCTTGAGCATAGTCATTTTTTTTACAATTTAAAATTTACTAAATTTAAGATTCTCTTTGAATTTAATAAATCATTAAATAGATGTTCTTTTGTTCTATATTGTGACATACACCCGTCATTTGGCAATCAAGTCAAAGGCGGGTGCTATGTCAAACTTCAGATAATAAAATAAACCTTTTATTGCTTATTTACAATTACAATTTTAAAAAGACCTGGATCTCCAGTCAATATTTCTATTTTGTGTTGTCTCATTTTTATGACACTTAAATTCTTCCCTTTTTTTTAGATAAATTTACCCCCTTGTGGGAAACTAGCTATGGTGGACTACTACAGAATATTGGGTGTATCAAAAACTGCTACTGAAGCAGAAATCAAGAAATCGTATGTATCTCATACTTTGTGGCTTTTTATTACATTTTGAAAATTAAAAAAAAATGGTTTAAAATTTAAATAAAGATCCTGTATACTTATTTTAACACTTTGTTTACAGTATAAATTAATTGTTATTTTTTTGCATACAGTTATAGAAAATTAGCTCTGAAATGGCATCCTGATAAGAACCCTGATAATGCAGATGAGGCTAATAGAAGATTCAAAGAAATATCTGAAGCCTATGAAGTCCTGTCTGATGGTAAGATTTTAAAATGAGTTTGTATCTACATATATGCGGTATTAACTAAGAATTAACTTTAAGATAAAATAGAAAAAAAATCTGATAGCTTCAAATTTATTTGCAATAAATAAGTTACATAAGAAGTCTGCATAATTGTATATGGTTTTCAATATTCTAACCATAACAACAATATTCTAAGTTACAATATTTTTCCTTACTCAAAAGCAAAATATATTTATTTTGACATTGTTCACACAAAATCCTTGATAGGTAGCAAATTCTTGGTAATATTTATTATGCCTTTCCAAAAATATATTTCTTATTTGAAAAATATATATTTCTATTAACTCCACTACCTAGCGTTTTTATAATGCATTTAATTAGAATTGGTTTTCATATTTTCATAATTTAACTAAAATATGTAAACATTTAAAGCATAAATAAAAGAAAAATTGTAACCTAAAATATAATTAGAAATTACATGAAGTATTATTATAAGATTGACTAGGCTAATGTTAGTTATGAAATCATCAAGTTCTTAATTCCCTTTGACATTATTCTTCACATTTTAAGTAAACTTTATTATTATTGTAGCCAACAGGAAGTTATGTTTCCAACATATAGCCACCTCTTTTGCATGTATGCACATTCTCATAATAAGTGTACATTATAATCTTGTTCTTGGGTAGAAAACAAGCGGAAAATATATGATGCACGGGGTTCCAGTCACCACAGTCACAGATATCAAAGCAAGAATGGAGTTAATGGGCACCGACACTTTAGCTTCAAGGGGTTTTTTGGAGAGACGCCTTTTCATCGATTTTTTGGTAGTTGTCAATTTAATGTAGGGCTAGTTGTCAATTTAATATTATGAATATTATCATTTTATTCCAATTAAATATTTTTCTAAATTATATAAATTATTATTATTATTGAGTCATGCATATATTACTTATTTCTTTGATGAAATATCTTATTCACTATTTATTTGCAGCAAATTCATAAAAAGATTTGTTTAATCCATTACATTAGAAAAAATATTAGTGATAGTCTTAAGTTTAGCATTTCATCACAGTGGGTTGTTAGGGGGTCATAACGTCTCTGTTAGTTTTACATTAATTTCATTGTTTAGTAACTGTTTTTATATATATGATGTGTATCATGCAATTGTAAAATGGGACGCAAAGTGATAATATTCAGATAAATATTAAAGCAAATAACAATTTGATTTGGTTATTGAATTAACTACTAACAATCTCAATATTTAGTGTGAACTGTGACTTGGTTTCAATTGGAAGTTTTATCACTGCATGACATCACTTAACAAGGGGGGCCCTATCAATAGATATCGATTCTAATGTTAAAATGATTTGTGAATGTGGTGATTGATCCTTTTTTATAATATTATTTTATTAAATTAGAATATTGATTTCGAAAATTTTATTGATAAGGCCTTAAACATTCTGCTTTAATATTCACTATTTCAATATTTTGTTGATATGACATATAAACGACTCGTTTAATTAAATCCATAAATTCTTAGCCAGTCGGTCAGGTTCTACAAAAAATGAAATGAAATAATGAATTTTAATAACAATTGCTTAGTTATCCCGCAAATAGTAGTTATATCCCTTATCAATTACAAATATAGTTATGAGAGTACTTATTTGTTTCTCTAAAATTAGTTAGAATCATTAGAGGAATACATATCATCATGTTGCTACAAACACATATGAATGTCTTAACTCCTAATGACATCACCAAGTATAGTTAGGCAAATACATGTGTCATGATAGTTTAATAGGAAACTGATAGTCAATAAAAACATTAACCTCTTAAGTTTCCTGAATGAATAATTTATGAAATACTAGCGACGATTGATGATTTCTAAATTTCGTCAACAGCGCCACCTACCGGGCCCAAATGTGAATCTAAATCATCTATGGACCCATTCAAACACAATATTATATTTTTTTAGAAACGGTCAAGCCGTTTTTGAGTTTTAGCGAGACTAACGGATAACAATTGATTTTTATATACAGAGATTTTTAGATGCCTAGGAGAAAAATCTATGTACCCAATGTGCCTTTATACAACATAAGTAGTATATATTATATAAAAACAGCGCTATTATAAACCAATGATAAAAATATAATAATATAAAAATATATAATTTAAAAGCAACTTATAAAAATATTAATGTTGCTATTGACATGTTACCATGTTACATAATATATTAATTATATGACATAAGTAACTTTTTATAATGTTTCTACAGTTTCCTAAGTTTTATCTTAATAAAAAAAAACCAAATTGACTGAGCTTGAACATTCACTGACTAACAAAGTATCTAAAGTTTTATTTCACTAAATTTAACCTCTGCGTATTATTTAAAAAGTTAACAGAATGTATATTAATGATAACTTTTTTGGAGTTTTAAATTAAAATATTTTTTTCCTTTTGTAAGCTTAATAATTTGTTTAAATGCAGAAAGAAAACGACGTGTGTATGATCAATATGGCAAAGAAGGTCTTAACAGTTCGCGTGGCCGTCGTTCCGCCGCCGACGACGACTATGAGTTTGGATATCACAGCTTCCCATTCACATTCCGAGACCCCGAGGAGGTGTTCCGAGAATTTTTCGGTGGCTCTCCGTTCGGCGATTTGTTTGCTGGTAAATAAATCAAAGTGTTTTTGTAGCATCTAGTGTCTTAATGACGCGTGCAAAATTCGTACTGTAACTTTTGCCTTTATCCGGCTTACAAAAGCTTCGCAGCCATAAAATGGGCACTAGATCAAGATACACATAGATCAATCGTAAAGGAATATGAGAGAGAGATGCATTTTCCATTTAATACTAATAATCGTGTGGTGCAAACTTTATCAAGGAAAGCAGACTGTCTTATTCGTGATATATTACAGAGTCATATGAAAGTGGTTGGATGTAAGAGTAGAGTATGGAAACTGTGTTCAGGTTGCGGAAGAAAGAAGCGAGAGATGAGATGACAGCTGATAGAGAAGAATGGAATAGAAAGATATACTATACCGGCCCCAAATAACTTGTGATAAAGGCTCTCAAGAAGATTGGCTCAAAGAACGAAAACATTCGACGGGCGACTATGATACGTTGTAAATAATTATCTCCAAAAGATTTTCATGTTGTAGCACAAGTAACACTAACACATGTTGTGACTGTATACATTTTTGTACGCTACAAACGGCATTGTTCTGCACATTTTAAATATTATTTTTATTACTAAAAATCAATGTTTTCTAGTATTATAATAATACCATTATTGTTGACATAATGTTTTACTCTTACCGCTATCACGTGTAATGCAATAGAATTTATTTATAATAATACAAAAGGACCAAACTATGTTTAAAGTTAATACAATACAAAATGAATAATTATTTTGAACATTTTGACAGATTTAAATGGGCATGGATACCATCATCGGCATGGACGCAGGAGTCACCCGAGCACATCACTCACTTCGTCCCTGTTCAGCCCGTTCGGGCTGGGATTGCAAGGTCTAGACGACGCGTTTACTCACGCCGCGTTCAACGGGAACACGTTCACGTCATTTTCGACTTTCAACAGCTCGCTCGCGGGCCCCGGCAGCGCCAACATGAAGAGCACCACAACAACCACGCGCATTGTTAACGGAAAGAAGATCACTACTAAAAAGTGAGTACTCGATTATCAAATAATGCGCCAAATGAGACGATACTTGAGCTCCACAACGCAAAGCACGTGAAGGTGTTGGTCCAGTGCCGGATCGCTATCCGTTTCGTGTCGGACTATGAGAATGAGGGAAAGAGTGCACTTGTGCTTTTTTTAAAGGAGAGGGGGCAAACGAGCATGCGGCTCACCTGATGGTAAGTGACTACCGCCGCCCATCAACAACTGCAACAATAGGGGAACTGCAGATGCGTTGCCGGCCTTTTAAAAAGGAGTAGGCTCTTCTTTTGAAAGTCCCTAGGTCGTATCGGTCCGGAAAAATCGCTGGTGGTAATCAATTCCACAAGGAAGTTGTGCGAGGAAGAAAACATCTTCGAAATCGCACAGTGGTGGACCGCCAATCATACAGATGATATGGATGGTATTGCGAGTTTTGTCGCGATGTACGATGTTGGAATTGAGCGGCTGGATTTAATCCGAACAATTCCTCAGAGCACTCCCCGTGGTAGATGCGATAAAATACGCAAAGAGATGCAACATCTCTTCGCAGCGCCAGTGAATCGAGCCGATCGGAAAGGACTCGGTCGTAAACGTTTCTAGCCAATCTGCGCTGGATGCGTTCAAGTGGAAGGAGCTGGCACTGGGAGGCCCCAGCCCAGAGATTGGAACAATATTTCATGTGAGTCCGAATCTGCGCCTTGTAAATTTATAGGCGGTGTGTCGGCATGAAATACTGTCCCGCTCTGCTGAGCACGCTAAGCTTTTTAGAGGCCAATTTGGCCTTCTCTTCCGACGTGGTCACTTACCACGAAACAGCACGTCACTCGATATGTCGACGCCGAGGATTCCGATATTGGCTGAGGCAACAAGAGGAGTGCCTTGAAACAGGAGATACGACAAAGGGGTTCTTTTTAGCGGTAAACGCGCAAACTTGTGTCTTCTGAGGATTAAACTGGACTAGATTTAGTCGCCACGAATCCGATACTTTGTTTAGCAAAGACTCGACTTCAGACACAAGTTTGTTCCGGTACTCGGCGACGTTTTTCCGAGAAATATTGGCATGGCCGGTGTATAGAGCATCACCAGTGTTGTCATCCGCATGGCAATAAATGTTACCGGTTTGCAACATATCATTGATATGCAGAAGAAACAGCGTTGGAGATAGCACATAGCCTTGTGGAACACCAGTGTTAATAGGCTTGTAATCGGAGCATGCACCGTCTACCACGACCTTGATGCTCCGATCAGCCAGAAAACTGGTGATCCAATTGCACAATTTCTCGGGAAGCCCATAGGAAGGAAGCTTCGAATGAAGCACTTTGTGCCAAACCCGATCGAAGGCCTTCGCTATGTCCAAACTAACGGCCAATGCCTCCCCTTTGGACTCGTTTGCCTGCGCCCATCTATGCCTTAGGTAAACAAGAAGATCACCAGCTGAGCGATCCCGACGGAAACCGTGCTGGCGGTCACTAATCAGCTGGTGCTCCTCAAGGTACCGCATGAGCCTGGCAGTTAATAATGGACTCCATTATTTTCGAGAACAAGGAGGTGATGGCGATAGGCCTGTAGTTGAACGGATCAGAGCGGTTAATTTTTTAGGGATCGGGTCTTCCATGAATTCGGGACAACGCCTAGGGAGTAGGAGTACCGGAAAAGACGCGTTAGAACCGGTGCCAACTCTGGAGCGCACGTCCTCGGCACAATTGGCGGGATTCCCACTTGTGCACTACAATCCTATCCTGTAAATATTTTTTAAGATACATTCTATATATAATATATCATGTCCATGTTTCATACGTTTTTTTCCATAAGTCTATTATTTTAAAATTGCTAAAATTACTTAACCTGTCTAGTTATGTCGTAGTTCTACGACGACGATCAAATTTAGTTTATTTTAGCAATTATTATAATTTTTTTTAGGCTTCCTTGTTTTATATTTCCAGGGTCACAGAAAATGGACGAGAAACAATAATGTCTTACGAAAACGGGGTCCTCAAATCAAAGACTGTCAATGGTGTACCTCAGTCGCTTACATACAGTTAAACTGGAATAATAACTTATAACCAAACTTGATCCAAATGACAACCTGTACTCACCACTACAATGCGAGTTACATGTTCCATTTATCATTTAGTTTTTGCTTAATTTAATAATAGTTTCCGATACTGTAAATTAATAGTGATGATAATATCAAAATAATATTTCTAGTTATACCTAGGCTAATGTCGCTTTTCATTTTAACTTTAATATTTTTTTTATTGCAATGAATACAAATAAAATTTTAAAGTAGGTTCATTTAAATATTGTAAAATATTCGTGTTACGTTCTTGGCACGCCCATTTTTGATCTCAGTCTCACGAACGAATCCTTGCTTATTTTATATTGTTATGCGATGTTTTAGTGTTCAGTGTTCATTAAAATATGCTAGTCGCAAAATGGCGGAGGATTATATAGGATTCGAATTAACGTGAAACGCGGAATCAAATACGCCGTCTATATATTGCGGCAAAATAGATCGCTTGTAAACTGCCTGGTGGCTCACGTAATTGATAAGTACCTCATGTGTGGCGTCGGTATTCACATAAATTAGTTCGTATTAAATTAGTCAAGCTTTTTAAATTTAAAACTTTATTTTCTTAAACAGTAACTGCATTCTATTTGGTCTTGACCATTCTAATCACGTTTTAAGCTCAAATAACGTAAATAACGAAATAATTACAAAACAGATGATGAAGAAATTTTGTATATTGGATATTACAAGGCCCATATCTGTTGATACTAAATGATTCATTTTTGTTGAAGAGAACGTTACATTTTATTTTTTAATTTTCTGTTGTTTGTAAAATGACCGAGATTTAAATAATATACTTGCACATGTTTTAAAATAATTACTAGGCCATAAATTTCAGGCACTTGAAGTAGATATCCTTGGATATTGTTCTAAATATTTGTCCAAACATAAGCCAACCACAAAGATAAGATAACACGATATCGATAAGGTTTACTTTCACATAGTAAAACGGTGGCTTAATAATTAGAAATAAAATATACTTGTTTGGAAAAATGATGATTTTGCTACATTAATTAATATATATTACTTTAACAATTTCGCTATGTTATGCTAATCGAGTACTTAATTACATTGCAATGTTTCAACAAAAAGAAAACAAATTCATGACATTTATTTCTTTAAACAAGTGGTGACCATTTTCTTATAACAAACAAACAAACACGATATAAAAGGCAACAAACTTACTATTATAAGGTATAAGCTTAGGTTTTATTACTTAATGTTTATTAAAATTGTCCCTTTCCGCAATGAAAATGGTCATCAATTATTTGTTTCGAATTTATAATAATATTTTCTGATTATTTTGTGCATGTAGAATCTGTTTAGTTAAAAGGTGAACAATAGTTCTGATTTGTAGTGCCATTGCTTTATATGTGTTTCCCATTGAATATTATAAACTCTTGTCAGTTTAAAAATGTACATACAATGTGTCTGTTTAAACTATTTTGTTTCATACAAAACTGATTTAATACAATAAGCACTGCAACAGTTAAAAATAAAGAAAATAATTTTATTGTTTCTTTTATTTTCATCTTATATTCTTAAAAATAAACGTCTATTTGATAATATTTTAACCATAGGTTCTGCAAATCAAGTCCTCTACCTAGGGAAAAGGTTGAAAGGATCCGAAGTGCCGTCTTTGCTTTCCATCGTGAGAACCAGACGTGGGCGATACATCTACGGCTACCGTCTCGCGGCTTCGCACTTCGAAAGTTCGGTTTTCATTCATGAAAAATATTAAGCTAAATCTAAAGTCAACATCTTTAAAACTCTTCGCTTACTTTAACATTTAGCAACATTTACTGGGTTGCTGGCAATGTGGTGTCTACTTTCTAGCGCAGGATTTCCCATTCCATTTGCTTCACGCTAAGTTCACATTTCTCAATTCACATCAGTTTCTGAACTAAACAGATTGCCGAGGATTACTATGAGGTAACTGGAAGGACCAGTTATAAATAGCAGTGCTTGCACGGCCTTTAAGGATAGGGGTATTGAGAGTCAGTATAATCACAGACTGCGAGGTATTTCGTCTTAGTCCTCCTCACAGGTGACACGGACAGCGCAACTGTAGCCTTCTTTGCAATTGGCTACAGGTCTTCATGAATTGGAATAGCGACTTACTATCAGCTGAACTGTTAAATTCGTTCGTCACTTTAGTTTTATAAAAAATGGCAGAACGCGTACTGCATAAATATTTTTTTTTCTATAGGAGAGAGGGCAAACGAGCTTGCGGCTCACCTGATGGTAAGTGACTACCGCCGCCCATGAACAACCGCAACACCAAGGGAATTGCAGATGCGTTGCCGGCCTCTTAAAAAGGAATAGGCTCTTTTCTTGAAGGACCCTAAGTCGTATCGGTCCGGAAAAGTCGCTGGTGGTAAACTATTCCACAAGGAAGTTGTGCGAGGAGGAAAACATCTTCTAAATCGCACAGTGGTGGACCGCCAATCATCCAGATGGTGCGGATGGTATCGGGAGTTCTGCCGCGATGTGCGTTCATGAAATTTGGCGGCTGGGATTAATCCGAACAATTCCTCAGAGCTCTCCCCGTGGTAAATGCAAAAGAAAATGCAAAGACATACAACATCTCTTCGCAGCGCCAATGAATCGAGCCGATCGGAAAGGACTCGGTCGGAAGGAGCTGGCACTGGGGAGCCCCTGCCCAGAGATTTTTTTTTATAGGAGAGGGGGCAAACGAGCATGCGGCTCACATGATGGTAAGTGACTACCGCCGCCCATGAACAACCACAACACCAGGGGAATTGCAGATGCGTTGCCGGCCTTTTAAAAAGGAGTAGGCTCTTTTCTTGAAGGTCCCTAAGTCGTATCGGTCCGGAAAAATCGCTGATGGTAATCGATTCCACAAGGAAGTCGTGCGAGGAAGAAAACATCTACTAAATGACACAGTGGTGGACCGCCAATCATCCAGATGGTGTGGATGATATCGGGAGTTCTACCGCGATGTGCGTTCGTGAAATTTGGCGGCTGGGATTAATCCGAACAATTCCTCAGAGCTCTCCCCCTGGTAGATGCGAAAGAAAATGCAAAGGGATGCAACATCTCTTTGCAGTGCCAATGAATCGAGCCGTCGTCGACGATTCGAGCCGCTCCGCGCTGAATGCGGTCAAGTGGAAGGAGCTGGCACTGGGGAGCCCCTGCCCAGAGATGGGAACAGTATTCCATGTGAGGCCGAACCTGCGCCTTGTAAAGTTGCAGGCGGTGTGCCGGCATGAAATACTGTCCTGCTCTGCTGAGCACGCCAAGCTTTTTAGAGGCCAATTTGGCCTTCTCTTCCAAGTGACCACGAAACTGCACGTCACTCGATATGTCGTTTCGGAGGATTCCGACACTGGTTGAGGCAAAAAGGGGAGTGCCTTGAAACTGAGGAGATGCGACAAAGGGGTTCTTTTTAGCGGTAAACGCGCAAACTTGTGTCTTCTGAGGATTAAAATGGACTAAATTTAGTCGCCCCCAATCCGAGACTGTTCAGCAAAGACTCGACTTCAGATAAATGTTTGTTCCGGTACTCGGCGACGTTTTCCCGAGAAATATTGGCACGGCCGGTGTAAAAAGCATCACCAAAGCTGTCATCCGCATAGCAATGAATGTTACCAGTTAGCAACATATCATTGATATGCAGAAGAAACAGTGTTGGTGATAGCACACAGCCTTGTGGAACGCCAGCGTTAACTTTTAGTCGGAGCATGCACCGTCTACAACGACCTTGATGCTCCGATATGCAAGGAAGCTGGTGTTCCAATTGCACATTTTCTCGGGAAGCCCATAGGAAGGAAGCTTCGAAAGAAGCGCTTTGTGCCAAACCCGATCGAAGGCCTTCGCAATGTCCAAACTAACGGCCAACGCCTCCCCCTTGGACTCTACTGCCTCCGCCCATCTATGGGTCAGGTAGACCAGAAGATCACCAGCTGATCGACCCCGCCGAAAACCGTATTGGCGGTCACTAATCAGCTGATGATCCTCAAGGTACCGCATGAGCTGGCAGTTAATAATGAATTCCATTATTTTGGAGAACAAGGAGGTGATGGCGATAGGCCTATAGTTGGACGGATCTGAGCGGTCGCCTTTTTTTAGGGATCGGGTGGACAAATGCTGTCTTTAATGAATTCGGGACTACGCCTTGGGAGTAGGAGTACCGGAAAAAACGCGTTAGGACCGGTGCCAACTGAGCACACGTCGTCCTCTGCACAATTGGGGGGATTCCGTCACGTCCAGGGAGAGGAGTGCTTTGCGAACCGAGCGCTGTGAGAATAGCACATCCGGCATGGAGCACTCACACCGCGGGATGGTCGGCGGTGTTTTCCCCCCGTCATCAAGAGTCGAGTTGGACGCAAAAAGGGAGCCTAAAAGGTCGGCTTTCTTTTTTGCGGGGTGGGCCAGTGAGTCGTCGTCCCTGTGCAGAGATGGTAGTGATGGCTTACAGAAATTCCCTTAGACAGCCTTGGCGAGAGACCAGAATGCACGGGTTCCCGAAGGAAGGCGAACTAGTTTCTCGCCAATTCTGCCTATGTGCTCTGACTTTGCCTTGGCAATAACTCTTTTGAAGGACCTAGAGCCGAAGTTATACTTCTTTTTAAGCATGCTGTTGTTTACATCCCGAGCCGTCGAAGCCTCAGCCCAGGCCTGATAGCGCTCCTGCTTACTGCGTAATGCATTCTTACAGGAGCGACCAAACCAAGGCTGAGATCTGATTCCGATGGGTACCACAGATGATGGAATAAATAGTTCCATTCCCGGTAGCACCACATCAGTGACAGAGTCAGCAACAGCGCTGGGATCATCCGGCGAGAAGCAAACCCGCCCCCATGGGTAGGATGCAAAGAAAGACCGCATTCCGTCCCAATCCGCCGACCTATAATGCCAAAGACGGTGGCAACCTGCAGAACGCAACCGCGAGGGGAGCGTGAATGGCACCACACTCCGGATCAGACAATGGTCCGAAGAGCCGAGAGTGGCATCGACAGAAACCTGATATCTGTCCGGATGAGAGGTCAGCAGAAGGTCCAACAGGGAAGGTGTGTGATCCTCCACATCTGGAATCCGCGTAGGCGAAGTAACCAGTTGTGTCAGACGATATGCCAAGGCAAAGTCATAAACAGATCTACCCGAATGATTGGTTAAACCTGAACCGAGCCATTCGGCGTGGTGGGCGTTAAAATCGCCAATAATCACGATCTCTGCGGATGGGACCTGTTGTAGTAAGGAATCTGTAGCCATTTGGACGTGGTCGATGAGTCGGTCTGTTTCGGCATTACCGCTATGGGACCTATAGAGGCACTCGTAGACACGCGGATGGTCGTCGCTATCTACGCGTAGCCAAAGGATGGACAGGTCCGAACCTTCAAGACTGCCGAGGCGTCGAGAACAGATGTCCTCTCTGACGTATACGCAAACTCCAGCCCGAGGCACTAAGGAGTGTCCCAATTTGTACCCCGGGTAGGAGAGATACGAAGTATCAGCCGGAGAGGACACCTGCGTCTCGGTCAGAAAGACCAAGGCCGGCTTCGCAGTCTCGAGATGGCAGTGGACGCCGTTTAGGTTCGAGTGAAGTCCACTGATGTTGCAGAAATTCACGGATAGCGTGGCAGGCGTCGCCTTGGTCTTGTTGCTCAGTTTGCCCCGAGCAGTTATTGTGTTGAGCGGAATTTTGCCCCTCCCCAGAATACGCGGGGCAGCCTGAGCATCCACGCTCAGGAATGGAGTGGCATGGTCGTGGACTCGTGGATGCTCAGCGAGGGATTCTCCAGGGGTGCTGGTACCCTCCTGGGGTCGAGCCGGCCCATACGTGCAACAGCAAAAGCTGCTGCGTGGCTCTACCACCGTTAAAAATATAAAAATATTAAAACAACTGACCTATTGTACTGCCATTTTCGCCATCACTCGATCATGGTATAAGTAGGTATGTACTTAAGTGTCATAATCATACTCCGATATTATTTTCAACTAGTTAATAATTAATAGAATCAGGCGTTACTTTGCGGAAATCCATTATATAAAAGCTTTTACAAAATTTGCGAAGTAAATTTTTGTAAAAGCTTTTCAACTAGTTGTTATTTGCGACTTCGCCCGCGTGGAATTTATTACGATTGTATTTCGTGGGTTTTAATTTTTTTGCGCGGAACCCTAATTCTTTTTCTAAAATAAAAGTAGCCTAAGTTACTCCTTATAACATCGGCTAACTGCCAGTGAAAATCCCATCAAAATCGGTCCAGCCGTTTCGGAAATTAGCCAGAACAAACTGACAGACAGACGAAGAGTTTTAAAATTGCTTTTTTATTATAAGTACCGTATATACTTTTAAATGCATTTAGTAAAAATCTGTTATATCGATGTTACAAACAGACACTTCAATTTTATTTATTTGTATAGATATGTTAAAATTTTGCGCAGGATTTGAAGCAAGGGCACGTTGCAGGCGCGGCACAGCGTACAGGAAGACAATTTTTCCAGAAAACGGTCATTACTATCCTTTT